TTCTCTCTCTCCCTCCTTTCCTTTCTCCCTGTCACCCTCTCTCATTTTTCTCCAAGTTCACTTTTATGATGAAACTGGGTTAGTTATTACTTAGAATCATTCATCTATTCATCTGTAATGCAAGTTGATTTTCTGATGTTTTCTCCCCCCAGGTATTAAAGTGAGGCTAAAAGGGTTTCATTATTTCCCCTTGTTCTTTTATTGGCTGTTTTGTGGAATGTAGGTCCACCTTTGTGTTCTCATTACTGAAGCTACTTAATTCACTGAAGTAAGACATGCAGAACTTTTGGCTTTTTTCTTTCCTTCCTTATATATTTTCAACCTATAGAGGTTCTCAAGGCCAATATCTGTGAGAGCTCTCTTTCTTAGAAGCTCAGCAGGTTTTCCTAGAAAGGACTGGCAATTTTTAACCTAATTTAAACCTTGCATTTTAGCTACTGTAATGATCATCATCATCATCCCATTTTTCAGGTGGGGAACTTGAGACACAGAGAGGTTAATTAACTTGTCTCAGGTCACATAGCATATATGTAGCAGAGTTTGGATTCAAACCCAGGCAGTTTGGCTCCAGAATCTATATTCTTAATCTCAGTGCAATGCTGCATCTTATATTTAGCTCATTCCCCTATCTGATCAAAAGTATGGGAGGGCTGGCCCCGTGGCTTAGTGGTTAAGTGCGCGTGCTCCACTACTGGCGGCCCGGGTTCAGATCCCAGGCGCACACTGACGCACCGCTTCTCCGGCCATGCTGAGGTGGCGTCCCACCTACAGCAACTAGAAGGATGTGCAACTATGACATACAACTATCTACTGGGGCTTTGGGGGGAAAAAAAGGAGGAAGACTGGCAATAGATGTTAGCTCAGAGCCGGTCTTCCTCAGCAAAAAGAGGAGGATTAGCACGGATGTTAGCTCAGGGCTGATCTCCCTCACAAAAAAAAAAAAAAGAAAAGAAAAAAAGTTATGGGAAAAAAATGAATTCCTAACTTAGTTCATTAGGGGGACTCTCACTCTGCGTATCTTTGTGTTAAGAATGATGTTAGAAGTTGGGAAGGGTATTTGCTGGCCACAGAGGATGCCCCTCCCACAGGTCAGTCTTTACAATACAATTCCTGTGGCCTCTTACTTCTGATTCCTGGGGAAGCTCAGGGAAGCAACTGAGGAAAGAAACTTACTAGTGTAGTGAACTGGTTTATGACACGATTTTGGAATTTTATCCCAAAGGGATTGTTATATTGGTTGCTCAGCGGTTGTATTTAATGAATATGACAGCTTATGAAGGGTGCTTAGACTTGGTGTCTAGAGAGGAAGACCTGGGGGATGTGACATCCTACTTCCATTCCGTTTTGTAGAACTCATGGCTTAGATGCTGTCCGATAAGCAATGAGTCATGTATTCCTAACTTGAGAACGCTGGACCATAGAGTAATGCTCCGCGGATTGGAGCTGAGCAGATGTACGCTGTGTCTATACAGGAGATTCTGTTCTTTAAGCAGGAGAAACATTTATTCTTCTCCGTTAGAGGTGGGGACAAACCCACGTCACATTTTTTAGAAATGGACAAAATTGATTCTCTAAATGTAGACTTGCCCCTTCTAAAAGCTAGTTCTACCTCAGGGATCTTTGATGTTAAATGTTGATGAAAAGTCAGTTGAATTTGTGATTGTCAGTTTCAGAACCACTATGATGAATAACTACGTTTTTTAGTAGTGTGAACACTCTGCTCCTCAAAAGTATTATCTAGATTCCAAATTCTGCCCATCATTTCTTACTCTCTCATCAATTCTTTCATGCCCCTTCATTCCTCTAAAATAGTTGCACTTCCCATTTCTTGATTGGAAAGGCATTGCAAATGTTTTTACATAAAAGTCCTGGAACTTTAGGTTTTTTTCTCTCAGGGATATTAAGACATTTCAGTCATTTTTTCTAATTACAGAAGTAAAACATATTGTATTCTATATTAATATGTATTTGATTATCTTATTTTAATGTTCCACAAACACGGAACAGTTCTCAGCTATTTTTCTTGTTTGTTGGTTTGTGTACTAATTTATTTATTCACTCAACTAATTAATTATTCACTTAACTAATTCATTAGTGAATGTTTGTTTCCCCTCCTAGCATATAAACTCGATAAGAACAGGGATCTTGTCAAGTTCTTTGCTTTATCTTCAGAGCCTGAAACAAAGCTTATTTAGAGCATAGACAGTACTCGATAAATATTGCTGAATGAATACATGAATGAATTGTGCACACTTTAGAATTTCTAGAAAAGTGAAATGAAGAAAATAGAAGCCCTAGAAATAAACTGTGTAACATTTAAAAGATGTATGTACAGGCAGTCCTTGCTTTGCACGGTAGTGCAGGACCATAAAAATGACCGTGCAGGCTGAAATTTTGCAAAACAATCCTAATAATCAATGGGTAAAGTTACTATTGTTCTTTGACCTTTAAAATTTTTGCCAAATCATTAAAATCTCTCTTGCTGTTGGCTACAAAGGTATAGGGAAATGAAAAAAAAATAGTAAAACTAATATTTATTTAGTACATGCTAATTTAAAATGTTAGCGACAATGAGATTAAAGTGTTTTATTTCTTTGTAAAATCTTATCAGTAGTAGTTTGAATAGTACTTGCCTTCTTCCTATTGTGTGAAATGGAGCAAGCATCTTTTCTATGCCCAGACGAATTGTCATACTCCTCTCTAAGTTTGGATCAGCTTCCAACATTTTATCCTTTGTTCTTTCCATGTCAAGAAATGTCTCTGAGAGTTCCTTTAATGTGCATATTTTTTTGCCAGTGTCACTTCCTCTGGGACATCTTTATCACCTTGGTACAACCACTTTCCTTATTTATGTTGATAAATTTGCCCTCACTAAGTTCCTCCGACTGCATATCTAGAGTCTCTCAAGTGGCGAATGGCAGTGTTGTCTAACGCCCATGGTCACCTATGTCTTCTATAACTCTATTTACATCTGGCACAGATTTCACTTCCAGCATTATCACTTTTTCTTTCTGTGCTCTACTTTAATCTTTCTTGGTCAATTCTCTCTTTTGATTATCCATGTTGTATGAATTTATCATCGGGAGACAAGAAGGCAACACTACTACACGCTGTACTGTCTGTGCATGAACCGGATAACAAATGTGCAGTGACCAATCACTGACAGACATCGAAAAAAGCAATATGATTGGTCATTGATCATGATGCACATAAGTTATGTACGTGGTAATTTATGGACTGAAGATCCAGCAGTGAAGTTTTTACTTTATGTAGTTACTCGTAGTTAATATACCATGCTAACTGAAATTTGTATTATGTTGTTTGGGGACTAGTGGTATTTAACTAAATTGTGGTAATTGAAATTCACACACACTGGAACCATGCAAAGTGAAGGCTCCTTCAATTCCAGACTTTATTTTAAGGGTATATGTGTAGTTTTTATTTACCAAAGTGGGATCACTTTGTGCATATGATTTTGCAATTTTATTTTTTCATTTATTATCAAAAAACAGTAATCTTGACATTGTGTTTTATGACTACATGGTATTTTATTGAACAGTTGTCATATAGATTATTTCACCAATCCTCCCTTTTGGACATTTGGGCGTTTTCTATTTTTCTCAATTACAGACAGTGCTTCAGGGGTCACCTCTATAGCTGAATATTTGAGATAACAACTCTTATTTATTTGGAATGAATGTCTTTCTAGTGGTAGAATTGCTGGCTCACAGGATAGATACGCTTTTAAAACATTTCCAAATCTTTTCAAATTTCCCTTTAGAGAGATGTTCCCATTTAGGCTCCTACCAGTGACATAAACTGAGAGGTGCTGGTGCATGAGTCCTAAACCCTTGTCTGCATTGGGATTATCATTCTTTTTAATTTTTTGCCATTTTAATAGGCAAAACATGTATCTTATTTTAATAAATAGTTTTGATTGCTAGTTAGGTTGAGAATTTTTCATGGGTTTATTTGTAGTAAATATATTTTGATCTATAGGATTTTATTCTGTCCTATATTATAGCAGTTTTCAGATGGTAGAGATTTTCTTATTTTATTAAGTTGTTTGAGTACATATATTTCTACAAATTTATGTGTACTTGGACTGCATTCACATATATATATACCATTCTTGGTTTTACCCAGCAATTATAAAGAGTATTTGCGGGCCTTAGTTTTGTATGACCATCACTTTCCAAATGCTTTCCACTTTTTTTGAAAGAAAGAGAAAATAACCCATGACCTAGGGGAAATTCTAGTTAATTTTTCATTACATGATTTTTAGGAGATGGGGTCAAAAGGAGCTAGTAGGGCATTCAATTATGTGCTTGAGTGTGTTGGAAAGTTTTTTTTCCCTCAGGTGTACAATATTTTACTTGGGCTTGTTTTTCAAGTGCATTGAAGTGTGACTAAACATTTTTGGGTACTGCCATTATGTTAAGAAGAGGCCCCATCTTGTTAAATATTCTTTCATCAACTTTGCGGTTAGCCAGTTATGGGCAGCGAGGAGCCTCCGAGGGCGTGGGCTTTAGGCATTGGACAGAGGGAAGGTGGGTGGGAGGTGGGGGCTTGGGGGAAACTCAGGATTGGGGTACTCTGTTGCCCCCTCCCACTGCTGTAGAAAAAGTGATTGGCTCAAGTTGGTTTCTGTCTAATAATTTTGGGTGGATCATAAGTGGGGAAGGAGGGAAAGTCATGTGGCTGGACCTTAGCTCATCTGAGGGCTAAAGGTTCTCTGTCACACACCATGCAGAACTGAAGTGCTGTCCTTCTGGAGAGTAGTGGAGAGCTGAGATACAGCTTAGAACCGAAGGAATAGAGAAAGGCTTTGATTTCTTTTCGACTTTAGGTTGAGGATAAGGGAGGCTCAGCAAGGAAGATGTCCACTGAAAATGTGGAAGGGAAGCCCAACAGCTCTGGGGACAGAGGAAGAGCTCGGAGCTACACTTTCCTCAGGGTTGTCCAGCCGATGTTTAACCACAGTATTTTCACTTCTGCAGTCTCTCCCGCTGCGGAACGCATCCGATTCATCTTGGGCGAGGAGGATGACAGCCCAGCACCCCCTCAGCTCTTCACCGAACTGGATGAACTGCTGGCTGTGGATGGGCAGGAGATGGAGTGGAAGGAGACAGCGAGGTGAGGCATAGCTGACTGTGCAGTGCTGAGCTGGGAAAACACGTGCAGGGCAAGACAGTTGTCTGTGAGCACTTTTCTCTACCCTTAGCACTTGGAAGAACTGATGAGCATGATCTTGGCTGGGTTAAGGAATAAAAGGATTCTTTTTCTTCTCTTTTACATTGACATTGACATGGATAGAGGACGCCTTTTATTTCGCTGCTGGAGCATTGTTTCGTGGATCTGTGTTGTTAGAATTTTAACCTTTATAAGGAATTAGAAGTAAATTTCCGTTCATATGCTATTTAATAGTAAAATATTTTAAAGAGATAAACTAAGGGACCCAAACATGGTAGCCTAGAGATATGTCTCCACATGCCGAGGTATTGTGTGAGATCATGTCTGACTTATTACCCATTCCTTGTTAGGAGGGAGGTTGCAAGGCAATGACTGTGACTCACAAACTAGCTATTATTCCAAGTAAAAACCCGTCATCTTTTAAATGTCCAGTGAAAACAAGTAGAAGATTCACCTGAATTTGGAGTTTAGAGACCTGAGTTCAATTTCAGACTCTGTCGCCTGTTAGCTACATAACACTCAGTTTCTCAGAACTTTGATTTCATCATCCATGAAGAGTGGATAATAATGCCTACCACATATTATATATATATGCTATATAAGATGTGTAATATATGTAAATATAATATTATACCATATATGTCTAATTATATCATGCGTATTTATATATGTATATACATATATGTATATATGGAAATGCTTTGTAATTTAAGCACTACACAGATATCTAAGATTTCATTAATTTCACAATAACAGAGCTTTTCTTCTTTCTTTCTACATATAGATTCAGTTATAGACTCCACACTAAATCTTCCATGACATAACAATTAGGTAATACAAGAGATTGATATAATACAGTTGTTGGTCTCTCATTGTCATCATTACATGGAGATTCAATGAACTTCACTTTCACAAACAAAATAGTGTTAAGATATACCTTTTATAGTTTGTAATTTAATTCAAATCGGTTAAATTCAACCAGTGTTTTTTTGCATGGGTAGTATGTGTTGGGCACTGTTTTAGGTACTGAGAATACAGAAGTGAGCAATAACTCATTTCTACTCCTCCCTCTCTAATGTTCCCTCATGAAGCTCTTCATTCTTTGCTCTTTTGGGGCCTGTTTCCATGATACAGAAATTGTTTCTTATTCCCCTCTCTCAGCACCGATAACCTGGGTATTAAAAGTCCTCCGTAAAGTACACTTATGGTTCATGAAACATGCTCCAAAAGAAGGCTTTCAAAGTGAAAACTTTTACCAGTATCTCCATTTCATTCTTTATTTTCCTTCTTTCTAACAGGAAAAAAAAAAAGCGAGAATCGTACTGGTGCAGCCTGAATTAAGTATTGAGGAGCTTTTGGTTTAGTCTTGGCTTTCTGCTAACTAGCTATTAAACTTTGAACAAGCCATGTAGTCATGTAGTCTTCCTGAGCTTGAGTTTTCTATTCTGTCAAATGAGGGCCATACTGGGTTGCAGCCTCTCTAACGTCATGCATATTTTTTAGCTTTAAAATTCCATCTCTGTGTGTAAACTGGTGTGATAAGCTATGACTAGGAGAGCTACTTTGATTCTTATTCTCATCTTAAAATTCTGGGGGAGTACCTATATAGAGTAGAATTCAAGGGTAGCATTCTGTTTTTTCTTTCAGTCAAATGCAGGCTACACTTTATTTTATATGACCCTTGGGCCCAGAAATGTGGAGAGATCACAGTTCATTGTATAGGTAATTCAACGTTGAATGAGATGGGCATAGTATTTTTATTTAAGATTCTTAAGATGGGGGCTGGCCCCGTGGCTTAGCGGTTAAGTGCGTGCGCTCTGCTGCTGGCGGCCTGGGTTCGGATCCCGGGCGCGCACCGACGCACCACTTCTCCGGCCATGCTGAGGCCGCATCCCACATACAGCAACTAGAGGGATGTGCAGCTATGACATGCAACTGTCTACTGGGGCTTTGGGGGAAAAAATCAATAAATAAATAAAAATTAAAGATTCTTAAGACGAAGATGGTCTTGAATACCTTACCATCCTTAAAGATTTTATTTCCTTGGGAGCATATGTGTCATATTGGTGATGTCATTGGTCCCTGAGAGACTATATTGCTCGAGAGGAAGTGTGGTGGGAGTATACCAGGTGTCAGGGGGAAGCTGTCCAGAAAGAAACATACTCACAAATAGTCTACATTCTTTAACTTCTCCTATATAGGACTTGCCACAATTACTATTAATTAATCATATATGTGATGTTATTGTTTTCATTTTGTCTCCCTCCTTACACTAATTCATCTGAAGGCTGGGACCACCATGTCTGTCTTTCACTACACTATTCCCTGTGCCTCATAGTGCCTGGTACAAATAGATGCTCAGTAATATTTGTCGAGTGCGATTAGTTGAGAACTGATTGCCTTAGAAACAACTATTGTAAATATAATACTTTCTTAGAAATATTACTTGACCAAAGTTAGACTTCTATGATAATCCATCTCTTTCTGACTTATGGACAGCTGAATGACAGACCCAAGGTACCCAGCACATCGTTGAAAAGCTCAGAAGAGGACCAATGTTTGCTGTTTCAAACTAATTCATCAATATGCTGATGCCATCTGCATTTAGTTCTCTACCCTAGACTTCTTGCCTTATTCAATTGAACACAAATAATTGGATGGCTAATAGGCATCTCAAAATAACGTCTAAAACTGAGCTTCTGGTTTACCCACCTCAGGTCACACCTCCTATAGCGTTCCCCATCACAGTGAACAACTCCATTTTTCTAGTTGTTCAAGCCAGAAACGTTGGAGTCATCTTTGACTCCTGTCTTTCTCTGTACCCCTTACTTGATCCATTGGCAAATCCTATCTATTTTACCCTTAGAGATATTTAGATATTCAGAATCTTACCATATCTCGCATTCAGTACTGCCACAACCCTGGTCTAAGCCAAACCATATTTCTCACCTAGATTACTGCAAATGCTTCCTCATTAGTCCATGTCCCTGCACCTGCCCTTACCTCCCTTGTGAACTATCCACCATGATCTCTTTGATCTCATCTCCTACTTCTCTCCCCCGTTTGCTCTGCTTGAGCCTCACTGGCCAGTCATACTCCCGGGGCAGGGACTTCACACTTGCTGTTCCCTCTGTCTGAAATGCTCTCCCTGCCGCCGCCCCACAGTTATCTACATGCCTTATTTCCTCACCTCCTTCAGGTCTTTATTCAAATATGACCTTCTCAGTGGCTGCCCCATCTAAAATTAAAACCTTCCCCCAACGCTCCCTATCCCCTATCCTCCATTATTTTTGTCCTTAGCACTTGTCAGCATTTAGCATATGACGTATCTTGTAATTGTCTGTTCCCAATAAAATTAAAGCTTCATGAGGGCAGGAATTTTTGGTTGTTTTGTACATCACTATATTCCTAGTGCCTATAACTACCTGGCGCACAGTCCACCGTCAGGAGGTATGTGTTAATAGAGTGAATGAATAGAGAAATAGAACCATGATTCTTAGGTTACTGCTCCATCGAAATCCTGTTGGGAGGTTTAGAGGGGATTGTGCCTCCAGAAATGATTCAAGATTTTCAGTAAGTTTTACTTCCTGCAGCAAACTCTGCTTCAGAATGTTTTGGCAGTAATTTCTGATTGCGATTTATGATATCCAGTTTCCAGACATGATAGGGTTTTTTTCCCGTGAAAGGCTCTCAAACCTACCAGACAAATAAAAATTTAGTGCTTAGAAGGGGTTAATTTTATATATAAAAGTGCATCATGAATATTTTTCTGGCTAACTTATAAAATTGAGAATTCTTTGCTTTTTTGTGAAAACCCCAGTTGACTATTTTGTTCCATAGAGAACTAACTCCGCAGACTTCTCCACCTTAATATAGTTTCTTCTGTGAGCCCCACTCTCATAGAACACAGTACTTCCCTTTTTAATACACTCCCTTTTAATGTTCTATACTTTTCAGTTGACTAATGATTTGATTTGACCAGGAATATCCTACATTGGGTCTCAGCGTTACTGCTGTTTTAGTCCTACTTCAGGAAGTTCAGGTTAACTCTGTGTCTCAAAAAAGAAGGAGAGTGGGTTCATTAGTTGAAAAATATCCCTATTTAAGTCTTAGAAAGTGCCATAGTTATGTAAAACTGTGAACAAAGGAAGTCTTTATTTATATAAAGTTTGAAGTACAGCCAATTCGATCACCCTATTTTTTCACATCTTTTCCCTGCTCTTCCCTTTCCTAAAAGTTACAACTTTGAATTTTCAGTGGCTCTTCCAACATAGAGCACAAGTTGAAGACTGTGCAAAAGGTAGAATGATCAGACTTGAGAAATGTGTATGGTCAGTGGAAGGCAGAGAATACTCTTTTTAAAGAGTGCTTCTAAGTGTTAGGTCATTAGAATACTGACATTCAGTAATATAGCAGTAATTATAATGAAATATTTGGTATTATTAAGAATTTCTAGGTGGCTAGGCATTAGCTAATGGGTTCTTGACGCAAACTGATAAAAGAATAAGTCATAGTCCAGCTTTGGTGATATCACTACCCACCCGCACCCCAAACTCTTCATTTCTTTGAGTCAGTGATATCTCTGCAAAAATGGTTATTGGTTTTCAGTTTTCCTTCGGTGAATATTCATATGGGCAATGTTGGACTTCATCACTGTTATAAGAATATATGTTAAAGGTCACTCCCCCAATGTGATTCAAACTTTACTGCCAAACCTGGGTAAAAAGGAAAGCCATCACAAGTTTCAACAAACACAACAAGCCAACAAAGGAAAAGGGTATTGATGTTTCACTTCTAGTGAGACAGCACAAAGGGACACCCATGTGTGTTTCTGCTCAACAGACTGACCCGTCCTACGTCCAGAGAACCTGATTTCAGGGCCTGGCCATCAAACACAGACACGTGTCCTTACCCTGGGGCTTTGGAGAGGGACCACTCTCTGCCCAATCTACACTGACGTTTTTGTCTATTCTCTACTGAATTGCTCTGGAAAATTCCATTTGAGACCAAGTTTGTTTTTTCTGTAAGAAAAAGGCTGAAGGAAAAAGAATTTAATCATCTATGTAATTATATGTAGTCACATACACTGTTTTGCAATAACTTTCACAGTTGATCTAGAAATTTAAGAATTCTCCTTAAAAACATAATTTATCCCAGATACACACTAGCATTGGCTTTTTTTTAATGTGCGATGAGGCACTTATTACTTAACAAGAAATTTATTACCATTTTAATAGTTTTATGTAGTTGGATTATATTCTAGGGTGAAGGTCATGTCTATTTTCCACTGTAAAACTGGCATGTTTTTAAGTTAGAGGTCTTGTGTTTTCTTAATTATATTTAATCATATGATTGGAAAGTTGCAAAATTCAGTGATTCCCAGTGGGCTTTCTGTTTCTTCAACAATCGAGTGAAATGCTGTTTGGTTGGCAGTCACTCAAAGTGCGTTAAATTGCAGTGTACTTTATCATTATTCTTCTAAGACCTTGGCATAAATAAACTTCACCTAATAAACTCCTCCTCCAAGGTTACAACAGTTTTGTAATTGCAAGCATTTAAAAAGCCAACTTCTGAAATTAATTTTCCTGTTAACGTGTCAAGTACCAAGACAAAAGGAAAAATAGAAAACTCGTTGCAAATATATGGTTATTCATAGTTATTATGAAGGGTAGATAGTGGCTTTTAGTACATTTTACAGTGAACATTTCTTTTTAAAAATGTAATTACATGGTTCTAAAGCACCTTTACAAATTCGTTTGCACTCGGATAGGCTGAACTTTGGTACCTTTGCCTTAGCCTTTTCTGTAATGGGTTCCGATTTGAGTTGAGTAGTTTTCAGTTTTTTTCAAATTTGTCCTTGATATGTGAGGAGGGTAGACATAGCATGTGTAGTTTCTGGAATGCAACTACCTGCAAATAATCTGTTTAAATGGGCAGACCATTACTTCCATACCTGAAAGCATATTTGGAAGTATAGTCCGTTCCTTGAATAATTTGAGCAATACATTTTAAAGGAATTTAATAGTCATTATCCCAGAGTTTCCTGTATGTTGTTAGCTATGCTATTAGATATGGCATCATCACAACATTCAGTATTTACTGAATTCAAAGTGAAATAGATGCTAAGCTGACCTATGAGATAATACTTGTCCCTTAGAAATATAGATTCGAAGGAACTGGCTAGTTTTGAAACTTCAAATTTCCATTCTTTTATGGTTAAATCTTGACCTAAAGGGCTAGTGTATTCCAGGAGGATGAATAATGCTATTCCATAAATCCAAGATAGTTGGGATTTATGATTTCTAAAGTGCTTTTAAAACTTGTTCAAAGTCATATTTAAATCCAGTCAGGTTGCCTACGGTATAAACCGGGGAGAGGAATGAAATAAAGGATTGTGCACAAAAGAATGCAGTGGTTTTGCTTTTTATTTTTTAAAGAATTTTTTTTTAACTTATGTTGTTGAGGATGATGGTAGAAAAGAGCCACTGTCACATATTACATGTAACTGAGGCTTAGTTTTCTTTTAAGAAATGGATTTGGCAATACAGGTTTATGGAACCTGATAGAAGGGGGGACTCCTTTAGTAGAGATAAGAGGGGAGTGAATAAAACACTCCCCTTTACTGAGTTTCTAGCTGGCCCTTGTTATTCACCTTGGACTTAAATTCTATGACCAAAGATTCTATCCCTCATCTGATAAGAATTCTCTTAGGAATAAAAACAAGGAGTCACTACATTCTTTATAGATAGCGTAATTATATGTAACCCTGACTTGGTTTCATATACAACGGAATCTTCTATTTTCTAGCGTCTTATCTTGAGCAATAAAGTATAACATCAAATGTAAATATAGTTCATGTATCAGTTACCAACAAACATGATTAGAGATTCTGTGAGCAAGCCTGAAAAGATAATATACACAAAGTTAACCAATGTAATATACTCCGAAAAGTGATTATTCTTGAAATAACGCCAACTACCTTTTATTATTTTGGCAAATCTATAGAATTCTATAAGACTATGATGTAAATTTTTTTTTTCTACCACTCCCTTCTATTTCTGAGGTTCTAATACCAACCAAAGTGAAGAACTACTAATTTACACACACACGCACACACACACACAAGAATATTAAGGGTCTTTCGTTCTCTCTTGGATTGTTTTGCAGACACTTTTGTAGAAATAAACAAGGTCCAGTTCTGAAGTTTTAGAACTTTGTTGGTGATGTTGGCTTTTTAACTTGTGAGGAAAACATGTAAAAATCTGCACTGCCTCCTTTTTTGGGATATAGAGCAAAGTAGGAGGTTCTTATAACAAAAGGTGAGGTTGGGGATAAGATTACCATTGAATGTGAGAGTTTCCCGGCCCAGAGAGGCTTCCTGAGAGGAGTATGGAGGGAGAGTCTTTGGATATGGCCAAAATACTTCTGAATCACGTTGAGTGTTGGGCTTGATTAAAATTCTGAATTTTCTTTGACACCGTGGCTAATCTCTTGATTTGTTTTCACTCCAGTTTCTATTAATGTGTTTTTTTCCCTCCTCTAGGGGTGGGGGGCAGTCCATAAATAGTACCTTATGTAGAGCTTCTTCTGATCTCTGCCCTTTGTTCTCCTCTTTAGTGAGTTAGGTGAGCGTTTAGCTTTTTCTAGGAAAACATTTTTCAATCATTAAACTTTTGGGTGAAGAAAGTAGAAAAACAATTTTTTAACCCCCTATTTATCTTTTTCAATATCTTTCAGAAGGTTTACAGTGAGAGAAAGAAGCATTTTTCTTTGGGCCATGATGAGTAGCAAACGGATGATGCTTTCTTGTTTTCCTTTACCAGTGTAGGAAGAGTCTGTATGTGTAATGTGTGGGATATAAAGACTGTCAAATGTGTTGTTCTCTCATTTCCATTACACTTTTTTTATTGCTATAGTTTTTGCTAAATTATCAAAGTATCTAGGAGTTTTCGAAAGAAGAAGCTATGAAAGGGGGGTGTTTGTTCCATTGCTAAGGTTAACATGAGATCTGTTATTATCAGCATAGATGTGTTGCTCACTGAGCTTGTGTATTTTTAAACACACATGGAGCCAGACTTGAAGGATAAGGCTTCTATTGGAATCTCAGTGAGAGGGGAGCACGTGTCAGCTGAGAAATATATATTCAAGTGAGACAGCAACACGTGCTGGCCCTCTTTAAGCACTACAGGGGAATTTTATATTCACTTACCACTTTACACACCATGTTTTTCAAATATGTAAGATAAATATTGGTTCATAACTGATACTTCACCTTATATAAACTTGGCTTGTGAAATCACAACAGAATTCTCACAATGGTGGCTATTTTTACACATTGTAGGCTCTACCCACAAGGAGAATTTTGAAACGCATATTTTTTTTCTACCTTATTTTAAAAATTTAGTTAAATAATCATTCTTATGGATTTCATGGTTACATATAGACAGAAATAAAACCAAGGATGCTTTGGCTCCTTTTGGTTTGTTTTCTTTCTCTCTAACATTAGAGGAAGGAGCAGTCTAGTGACTCTGTTTGGTGTATTTATAAAGGTAATGCAATTAATGATAGAATACAGTTTTAAGACTCCACAAAAGGAAGCATTTTCAAAGTGCTGGAGGGGGTGGAGATGAGGGGTTGATGTTGCTATTTCCAGAGGAGGTTAGAACACTTTTAATTTGCTGTTCACTAATCTCATGTTCCCAGGTGGATTAAATTTGAAGAAAAAGTGGAACAGGGTGGGGAGAGATGGAGCAAGCCCCACGTGGCCACATTGTCCCTTCACAGCTTATTTGAGCTGAGGACGTGTATGGAGAAAGGATCCATCATGCTTGACAGGGAGGCTTCTTCTCTCCCACAGTTGGTGGGTAAGTATGCTGTTTAAGTTCTTATCATTTTTTCAGCTTCCTGCCTATCCATGAGTCTCCATCCATGCAGATGACTTCTAGTGTAAGCAGAGTTGAACATTCTAAAACATTTATTGTCTCCTTTTTATATATTATAAAACTAGTAAGGTTTATTATAGAAAATTTGGAAAATACAGACAAATATTTAGAAGCGAATAAAAAATCATTTATTGTACTTCCATCAGTTATAGTCACTATTTCTATGCATCTTTGTTTCTCAATCTTTTCTCTTATGCTTTCCATTTTTTATGTTATTTTTAAATTAAAATTGGGACCATATTGTATATGTACAGATTTGCATTCATTTCCTTCACTTATTAGCATGAGATTAATAGTTTGAATGGAGGTACCCCCTCTCCCCCCATCCTTGGTTATATTGGCCTGAAAGTCTGAACACTAAATTTCTAGAACTCTTTGACCTTAGATGTTGCACTGAGCTTCTCTGGGCCTCAGTTTTGTCATCTGTAAAGTAGGGTTTAAATCCTCTGTAAGATGGAAAATAGTCTAGTTCCTAAGTTGGGGCTGATTTTATAGGTGGAAGTCAAGCTCCTTTAACTGTGTGTAGAGAAAAGTTGTATGGGGCAAGGAGCCAGCAGAACCTTATGAGTTAGTGACTTAGTCAGGCCATGTTGGTGCTGAGTGTCGTTTATACAACCACCAGCAAGTCCCTGAACCTCAGGGTGCAGGGCAGCTTTGGCATCTTTTGCAGTTAGTGTTGTGTAGTGAATATTAACTTATCATGTTGAACACCTTGGGCACACATCACTATATTCCAAGCAGTAGTAATTATTTTCATTTTCTAGCAAGAGCCTGGCCTAACCTCCCTTATTACTCTTCAGATCTAGGTGTGCTGTAGATCATGTTTCCCTCAAAAAGGGGTGCAGGGGCTCTGCTTGTTATTCCTAAAAAAATTCCTAACCAGGTGACCACTGGACCTGTTTGGATGACTGCACTTTCCCAAGGGGTCTGCAGGGTACCTACCTTAAGATTGTGGGGAAGAGGATGTGAATTGTGGCCTGCAGAAAGTGACCAGTGTAAAATTCCTGTGTACTTTCAGACTTCAAAATTTTCTGGAATATCTGTTAACAAAAGGCTTGTCTATGGCATCTGTACATTTATAGACGATGGGAAGGCTATAGCATTTGTATTGAAAGAAAAGATTAGTGGTCAATTGAGGCATGTATCTAGCTGATGTATATGTATCTGATTCTTCTTCAGAGAGCTTGTTAGATTTGCAAAGAAGCCCCATGCTTTTCATGTATCTGAGGTACTTAAGGTGCAAGTGGAGAAGGGAGAAAGACTAATGTGAAGATGCTGAGTAGACAGAATTAATTAGTTCATGCATTTATTCAGGAGTAGTGTGTGAGCTTCTACAATGTGCCAGACACTGTTACAGGCCCTGGAATTAGGTTTGCAAATCTACCACTTTGTACGTGGGATAAGTTACAAATCCACATCCACATAGGTAGTTAGAAGATAATGTAAGAAATACTTCTTTATGTAGAATTTTTCAACTTTGACAAGGTAGGTGAGGCTGAAAATGGACGTTTGATATATGAGGAGAGATCTTGGATTATTGTACCAAGGGAAGATGGAACCCATTTATAAAGACAGAGAGAAACAAATGGAAGGAATGGTTTTCTGGAGAGTTTGTTCCACTGACTTTTTTTCATTCGTTAAAAGCTGCGTGAGAGATTATTATCCAAAAAAGTATCGTGTTAGCAAAAATCAGTCCAGTTTTTGAGTGAGAATTACAATTTCTGTATTCTTAGAGTAACTAATCTGGAAAAGATGTCTGAAATCAGACAAGTTGGAAAAATAAGTCAGAAGTGGATAAATGCAGGGCAAAATGGAAATTAAACTTGTGGTTGGGCAATGTGTAGGTAATCTAGAGGGAGAATATGTGCTGTGGTTTAAAAGTCACCAGAAAGTTTCCTATATTTAAAAAAAAATGTCCTCCTGTAGGCCATCATTGCTGCCTGAAATTCCACCATTTGGAGATTCATTTCACTGAGCCCAGGGTTTGCCCTCTATTAAAATATACGTACTCTCTGGCAGAGATCATATATTAATTCTATGAGGTGCAGAGTGGTGTCATAGAAAGGATGGTGGATTTAAAGTTGAGGGAGTCTTAATTAAAGTCTACCCCGACTAACATGTGTCACCATGGACAAGGCAAGTTACTTAACTCTTTAGCAGTCTCAGTTTCCTGAGCAGGATGAAGGTGGACCTCTCAGGGTTGTTGTGAGAATTAAAAGAGAACATCAGGTGTAATTGTTACATACTTACATGACCATCCCAGTATAAATGAATTTATCTAGATCTTTCTACATGTCACCTAGCGGAGGGCTGAGTGAAGACTGAGTCAGGTCGAGAGATGCTCAGGGACTTCCTGAGCAGGAGAAAAGATTCTGAAAGTTGTAGTGGGTGGAGCTGGAAACAATTTAGCAGCTTCTTTGCTGTGCCTGGAGCTGGTCAACAACAGTGACAAAAGTTAAAGTTGAATTATATACTTGGAGTTTTCTGTAAAACTGTCTCTGAGATCTTCAGCAACAGAAAGAGCCATCTTAAGGAGCTTCAACAGCTAACCTTTTCCATGCGGTAGAAGACAGAGTCCCACGTTGTATTGGAGCCTTGTTAGCCAATGGCCAGAGAGAGAGGTTCTGGTATTTACTACATATAAGAAAGGTTCATCAAGCATTTTACATTCTCACTTTAATTTTCCATTACTTTTCATTCTCAGCCGTGAACTTTTTCTGTAACCTCCGTACCTTTACTTTAAAAATTGTCATTAAATTTTAAATTTAGACACCATGAGGTCACATTGAGGTGTCCCCACTCAGTACTGTACTTGCTCTACAGTCCCTGGGGCAAGCAGGCAGAGAGCCAGTGTTGTCATTCTCGAGAATACAGGAAAACACTTCAGAGGCAAAGAACACACATCACAAGCAAAAGAAAGAAAAAGGACCAGATTTGCAGGAATGGGGAGAAGAGCATGCTTGAGAGAGTGTAACTGGCTTAAAAGAAATACTTAAAAATCCTCTGAAAGAATCAAAACCTTACAGAGGGTTAAAAACATGAAGGAAAAAAAAAGCGCCTTCATTTCGTTTTAAGTGACAGAAGATGGCCCAGTAACTTGAAGAGTTGTTGTCATTATTTGGCTATTAAAAAATCTTTTTCTCGAGGAGGATGAAGTGAAGTTGTTTTGTCCTGAATCATGTTGATAATTCAGAGTTGAGAATTATGTACAGCTAAGTCTTAAGATGCATCTCCCCTACACCCCAGTTCTACCTCAACAAATGAGAAGAAAAAGAATAACAGAGATTATGTCAAACAAACAGGCGCATAATTTTTATCCGTCTTTGCAGTCTACCTTCTCCTCCTTCTCCTTGGCCTCCTCTGAGAGGCGTCCCCTCTCTGCAGGTGCAAAGATCCCGCCATGTGAGGGCCATGAGCTGTGGGTGACTGTTTAAGCAGGTGTTACATCTCACACTTACATTAAAAATTCAGCCTAATTCTAATTCTCCTCAGGACCTCTTCTTCTTTTCTTCATGGAGAACTCCTTCTTAATGCTAATAGAAAAATTTGTCTTTAAAGTATTTAAAGGGTAAAACATCATTTTCATGGATTATTTTAATAGCTTTATTATTACTGTCATCATTATAATTCTACATTTAAAGAATGTCATTCGTATATGAAGCCAAGTACAGGGGAATTTTCCTCCCCTCTTAAGTTATAAAACAATTTGAGCCATTTCAGGTATTTTATTATGATGGGAAATGGATTAGGAAAATGTAGCTCTATTTTTGGTGTTCTCATTTTTATATTTAAAGGCATTCCTGAGCTGTGCATGTTGGCAGATGTGTTAGTCATGTTGTTTCTTGCTTTTTACACCTTTTATATTTGCAAAATGGTAATACATTTATTTTTAATCACAAAGCTAATATATGTTCATTTTTAAATAATCCAGAAAAATATAACACACAAACGTCAAAATACCATTAATCTGATCTTTCAGAGCTACCCTCCCAGCAGTTTTTCTATACATCTCAGTTTATACATATGAAATTTATTTTACAAAGTGGGATCATAGTGTAACACTTTAATCTGCCCATTTTAACTTAAAAACATAATATGAATATCTTTTCATGTTATTAAATGTAAATATCACTTTAATGGATGCAAAATATTTAATAATCTATTATTAGGCATTTAAGTTGCCTTCAAGTTTTTATTGTAGAGAAAAGAAGTGTACATTTTTTTACACTTCTGTGAAGATACTTATTTCCTTAGGGTAGATTTCTTTCTCTTTTTTTATTGAGGTAACATTGGTTTATAACATTATATAAATTTCAGGTGTACAGCATTATAATTCGATTTCTGTGTAGATTACGTGTTTACCACCCAGACACTAATTACCAGCCATCACCATTAGTGTAGATTTCTAATGGCGAAATATTCAAGGAATTTGAACATGTTAAAGGGTTTTTGTTATGTAGTTGCCAAGTGGCCTTCCAGAAAGGTTGTACTATTTATTACTGTCATCATCAGTGTATGGAATTGCCTATTGCATGCATCGTTCACATCACTGGGGATTAGTCTTTTAAATTTTTTCAGTTTGATACATTAACAGATGTCTCATAATTGGTTATATTTGTATAAATTTGTTTAAATTTAGTCTTGAAGTTGAATATATCTGGACCTTTGTATTTCTTTTAAAATATTTGTTTATCACCTTTGGCCTTTTTTCTGGCACGTGACCATCTTTCTCTCGGTTTGGAGAAGCTCTGCATATCTTAAATATTTTTTTGGTCTAGAGCTTCCTTTTTACATAAAGAAAAATACTGTGTGATATGGAAGAAGATCTAAACTGTGAATCAAAAAACCTGGTTTGATTTGGGGGATTTTGCCTCTAATTAGGCTATGTCTGTGAGCACGTCTCCTCTCTTTCCCTCTCTTTTCTTATCTGTATAACAAGAGGTTGAACCTGATGCTCCCTGAGTTCCTTTCAGCTATGCTATCATCTAGAGTTGGCACATTCTCTCCTGACTGGTAGCGGCTGTGGGATTTTGAGCACTGAAGGCTTAATTTCAGTGTAGCTGTGAAATGTTACTGCCTCTACTTTCCTTGAAAGGTTTTGTAGTTTATGCTTAAAGAGATCCCTGTAATGTGGGCCATTTTTATGGAAACTTAATAAAGGCAGAAGCCACACAGATGTTTTAACCTGTTCTAACTGGTGATTTCCAGGCATTAGTAACAGAGGGCTGGCTGTGTGTATATATGGATTGGTTTGAGATTACAAGGGAGGGCAAGAATAGAGGGAGGCCCTGCCAGGAAGGGTAGATAAGAAACACTTTAATCCACAACCCTGGAATTAGTGTAGGAGTTTGATAACACTGGCAGCAGATATGCTAGGGCTGTTTATTTATTTTTATGGTTCTTCTGTAGAATGGACTTTCCACGTTGAACTTCAAGAGAAAGTAGAGGGGTTGTGTTCTGTAGCATCTAATTATTTTACTGTGGAACAGAGGGTTAATTGTAATTACAGGATCAATTCTGAGAGTTTTACTGAGTAGATTTTGTGCAGTTAAAGATACTCAGAGCTAAAGGCCACACTCAAACCAAAACATTCCTATGGGAGAAACTCTTCCTGCCTTGCCCAGGCTCCCTACCAAGTGCTCTAGTGTTACATGACATTTATGGTATCTGTGTAAGGCACGTGATAGAAAATCCTGGATTCAGCCTCTGCTTGACTGTCAAGTAGTTGATTGTACACTGTGTAAATTGCCAGTTTCTAGTTATAGGCTGTGAGGCCAGTTCTGAGTGCTTGCTATAAAGATGGACTTCTGAGAGGTGCAGTCATGCCCAAGCAAAGCCCCTTGAACATCTGTAACTTCTCTTTACAAAGAGATGGGAATGCTTAGGAGATGCTGTTATCCTACAACACCCATCAATTTTCTTGTAAAACTTTTGGAAAAGAAGAACTTTCATTCTCTTCTCCACTTTTGTGTACTGAGAAGTTTGCCCAAGGGGAAAATATTGACCTGTGCTAGATGCACCCATGTGCCTGAAAATGTAGGCTTGGGGTCCATTGTTCTGGTTCTATGCAGGGGACAAAGCTCTACCTGCCGTCGTGTATCTTGCATAGATTCTGTGATGTTTTGTCCTGAGTCCCATTCTGGATGGAGGAAATGTTGACCTGTGATGTGACATTAGAATAGGATACACTAGGCTACATTTATGCCATGTGGCTGACATGCTGACTTGTGAGAAATAGAATTTCTTATTTTTTATTAGAGTAAAACCTGTCCTTTGGCAGAGCCACCCATGGAGGAATTTCTATGAAACAATCATCTTTTCTCGTTAAAACCATTCTAAAAAAAAAGAACTAATAGAAATTTTATTTTATTCTTTGTAGTAAGACTAAGGTATTAAAATTTCATAGAAAATTCTGGTCAGGTTATATTTTAAAATGAGTAATGGAATATATTGGAAAGGCTTCAGTTGGATCTAAACAAGAAGAATAAGCCTCCCTTCTTAGAAAAGACTAAGGCATAAGTTTGTAGTTTAATCTTTCTTTCACTGGACAAATCAGTGTTCAAATAAGCTGATATGGGGAAAGGTATTGTTTTCCTTTATTTTGTCCTATTATAAAGAAAATATAACGTTACAGAAGAATTTGGAAAAATAGATTTAAAAATCAATAATGTCACTACATTAAATTTTGCATACTTGAAGTTTTTTTCATGATTTATATTTCTGGCACATTTGCTATGATAACTTTTTATTTTTTAATTAATTGAAAAATGTAAATTACTGACTTACTGTGTTACTCATAGAAGAATGCGATTACTGTGAATTCACTATTAACTCAAATTGAAAAAAATGAACAAGACCGTTCTTCCTCTCCAAACATAATTAATACTGTAATATTTATAAATCTTTCATTACTGCAGTATCCTTGTACCCTGAATCTTTTTCTTCATATAAAGTGGGAAGTTGGAAATTCGGAAAATAGTATATTGACTTTAAATTTGAAGATGACATTTGTAAAGTTAGAGTAAAAAGTTAACTTCTTGGTCTTGTGACTGAGTTTTGTTTTTGTTTTGCTTTGTTTTTGTATCAGAGATGATTGTTGACCATCAGATTGAGACAGGCCTATTGAAACCTGACCTTAAGGATAAGGTGACCTATACTTTGCTCCGGAAGCATCGGCATCAGACCAAGAAATCCAACCTTCGATCCCTGGCTGATATTGGGAAGACAGTCTCCAGTGCAAGTAGGATGTTTACCAACCCTGATAATGGTAATGCAGGGACCGACTGGCTGCTGCTCTCCCTTACCAGTCTCACTCACCTTTACTCCATCTCTTGTCATCTTTTTTTTACCCCTCTCCATATTTCTTCTTTTCTCAAGTTCATGTGCCACAGCCATTTCATAGTGACACTTTTTATACAATCGGGCAGGTTTGTAGTCCTGTTGGAAAGATTTCAGCGGTTGTTGTAGGCTGCAAATGCCAAGATGCCTTACTTGCTCCATACACGTCTATTCTGATTGACTGAGGTGGTTTGCTAATAATGCTGAAATAATGATGAAACAACTGAGTATTTCAGATGAATCAGCAGACTTGTAGATTATTGAGTGTGTCAAAGAGTATGCTTTTGATATGGTGGTGATATGGTGTCAGAATTAGGAGGATAGACTAAGATATGATAAGTGCTCTGAAATCTATCACGAAGTGTTTGCTTGGTGTTTGAGAGGGTGTCCAGCTTATAAATGATCGTTCATCAAAGTAAGGCTCAATAGTATTTTCACTACTTAAAAGAAAATCTCGTTTGTTATATGATAATGATAGTTAGATGTGAGAATAGTTATTCAAGGTGGCATATTAATCCCATCATATCCATTATATAGCAATAGGAAAGGCACTGTCTTATTCATCCTCTATTGTGTTTACCAGAGTTTCCTGTCAAGTGTCTATCTTCTATATCATTGTCTTTGTTTCAAATAAATTTCATGGTTGGATGCAATTTTGAGAAGGGAGAAGTTAATTTCCATGAAGTGTGGAAAATGAAAGCGTGGTGGGAAGAGCTGCAAAGCACTGGGCTAGTAGGACTAGGTCTCTCCCGCTTCAGCCCTGGGCTTTTTAGTATTAAGGGAAATGAGTAGATAAAGGAGCTTCTAATTCATTGTCCTCAGCTGCACTTTCAGAACAATATGAAACATGTTGTCACGGCAAAAGTGGGCTAAATGAATTGTATAAACTGAATTCTAACTCAGTTGCTCCATTTCTGCAAATTGAGTTTTCTGACTTAATATTAAAATTAATGGTTGGTTGGAAGACAGCTTACTATGAGCAAACTTTCTCTGATGTATTTTTGAACCATTCCATCATTGTAGTTTCTTAGGGAGTGTTCAGTCATTAAGTAGAACCAAATGAAAAGTTCAGTTTTATTGAGTGACTTATATATTGATTTAATTGCTGCTGTAAATTTTTTTTTAACAGCAAAACAGGTTATAAATAAATAATGAAAATAAAAATACTCTTTATAAAAAACATTTACAAAAGGAAGAATCTAATCTAGAACATTCCTACTATAATTTGATGGTTCTACCATTATCTGGAATATTGCTGCTGACTGGAAATGTTTTGGTTTTGTGTGTCTCCTCTAGTTTTTTTTCTCCTTTTATTGTATTTTTGAAGAAAGGGGTTGTTTAATGGCTGAAAATGTTATGAGGTGAACACTTTATTATAACTGATGTCACAAATATTTCATTTTGAAAACAACCCATGTTATTAAAATTATGGCAATTAAAGTAAAACTCTGTCTTTTATATCTTATTTGTTATCTTCTTTCTCATATAAAATGAAATTCCATGATTTGGAGATTTATTTTTTTATTGTAAAGTTGGTGGTGGTATAAAGAAAGAAGCAAGAAAATGCACTGTTTTTGAATATTGCTATTTTTGCAAACAGAAAAGGAACAAACATGACAGAGTGAGGGTGCCTTATACCAGTATGGTGTGAGCTTCATTTTCATAGAAGTGCAGGCAGAGTGAAAATTAGGAACAGATGGATCTTGGAAGCTAGTATCTTGTGTTTTAGGAGAAAGTATTTGGATGTGGAATACAACTAATGAGCTGGTATCTCTCGTCATTCCATCTTTTATCCTATCAGTAGATCTTTGTACTTCAGAGGCAAGTTGAAATTGCCTTCGTCATTCACCTTGTCACTTGTGAAATGTTGTATATGCTGGGCAGAAAGCAAATAGGAAGGGCAGGCAGTTCTTTTCCTTTCTGGCTCTTCAGCTGGTCGGCCCACACCCTGAAGCATGGAATATGATTATGCCTTTTAAAACATATTATTATTAGCCTTTGTGTTACCTAACTCCTTTTAAATATCCAGAGACAAGATTTGGCTTTGAGAAATTCTATGGTAATGAATTTCATGTGCCTCCAAGGTACGTTATAAATTATCAGAGGGCAGACTTTTGGTTTTCTAAAGGCACTTGTTCTTAACGTGCAAGTTTATACAGTTTAATTACTTAATATCTTTAACTCTTATGAAATGTTCTTAGAATAAATTTCTAAAATAAAGAATTATAGAATTTGCTACTCATTTAATAAACCGGAATCTTATATCTATTGTAGTTGGAGCTAGATTCTAATATCCTCATGTAAAACCTAGACAACTTGTTACCTTAGTTTTCTGTCATAGGCTAGAAAATAGACTCATTGACACTGCCAGCTTTAGTTGTAGTAGCAACAATATAATTAGTAGCTGAAATTTATGTAGATACTTCAGAATTGGAAATTTTTTCATTTCCCAGTGGTGTGCTGGAGCCACCTCTTATCTACTCGTAAGAGCCAAGTGTTGTCAGAATTTTTTCAGCTGGTTGTTAAACATAGCTACTATTAAACATTAAATTATATAAACATACAATTAAATAATGATATTAAAGACAATGATAATAAGCACTCAAAATTCATCACTTTCTACTTATTTTACTATAGTCTACACTCTTCAGGTTATTTACATCTATTGTGTCTGTATGGTGGAAATACTATAAAGTGATGTGCTACTGTCACCTCTTCCCAACTTTACATTCAAGTGACTTCATATTGGAAGCTGGAAATTGTCCATGATGGTAGTATTTACACCATAGACATCAGCATAAGCTACCAAAGAAGGGCTTGATTTATAGTTTTGTCAATTGTCTCTAGACTTAAAAAAGTGGTGGAGAAAATGCTAATAATGCAGATTAAATTTAAAAGTGTGTAGTGTCTATAGCTCCTGTCTTAGTCAGCTTGGGCCATTATAACAAATTGCCATAGACTGGGTGGCTTAAACATCGAGCATTTATTTCTCGTAGTTCTGGAAGCTGAGAATTCCAAGAACAAGGTGTCACAGATTTGGTTCTTGGTGTGAGGGCTGTCTTCTTGGCTTGTAGATAGTCAGCTTCTCATTGTATCTTCACATGGCAGAGGGAGATTGACTATCTTTCTCCTGTCTTTTCTTATAAAGGCACTAATCCCATTCATGAAGGCTCTGCCCTTATGACCTAATTTCCTTCCAAAGGTCCCACCTCCTAATACTGTCACATCGGAGGTTAGTATTTCAACATATGACTTTTGGGAGGATACAAACATTTAGTCCATAACAGCTGTTAAAATGTAAATAGCACAAAGAATTGAGGATATATTCTTTTGATATTCAAAAACTATTATCCAATTTAGCAAAGAATATGATTTAGCATACCATTGATAAATGAGTGAAGTCTGACATAAGTCTTCATTGTTTTGCTATTGTCTTACTTGTTACCATATATGATAATGGCTGTTCAACATGGACATTGGAACTATGCTTGTTTGCCATTTGCAGTCATAAGTTGGCTACCGATAAAATAGTTTGGTAAAAATCAACAAGAGCATTTTATGAGAATCATCTGGCTATATGCAATTTACAATAGAGTGTTGCATATTTTATTATTATTTGTGTGTGTGCTACACATTCTTTATGTCAGTAAAATTTATTACACACATGCACACACAAACACACAGACACACACATTTTCCCTAGGAGAGCTGATTTTCAAACATTTACCAGCATACCCACTACCAACTCACCACTGTCTTTGCATAGCTAAAGACTCTCATGTTTTAGAGTCCTGATGTGGCTTGGGGTTCAAGATGATTTAGTGTTTTTTTTTTTTAAAATGAAAAACATTTTATTTGTAATAAATCAGGGAAGAATCAGGCTAGTTTCCAAGATGTTAATTATTGTGGAATTGCCACTTGTCTGAGACATCTGTGAATTCTGGTGGACACGTCTGCCGGGTACTAAATTTTAGTTAAGTGCTATAATTTCTCACTGTATTAATTGAGGCATTTCTATGGAGTTAGTGTTGCATGAAAAAATTAATGAGGTTTTTATTTCCTCTGGTGTTAGATTTTCCTTTACCTACTCCGTTTCTCACTATTGTTTTAGGTTGAACCATGTGAAATTACCATTTCTGTGGGTGAGATAAAGTTGGCTATTGGCAATTTCATGTGATTCTACTTAATAATTTGGTCTGAAGTACTTAGATAATCGTTCTGTATTATTGTAGTTTACTATGAAAGAGTAACATTTAAGCCTAGGGATGTTCCTTGGTAGTATTTAAAAATCAAGTAAGGTGTATTTAGTTTGCTCTTTATTAAAAAGTGAAAGTAAAGTTTATACTTAACTGGTATTGATTCAATAAATATGTAGTAAGTTGTTTATGACAAGGTTACTTGATAACTGTTTTAAAAAATCGTGGTTTGTAGGATGATCTGATTTTTAAAAATGTCATTTACCACTTAAATGGATACTTTTGATATGGATTGTCTAAGCTTAGAAAAGATGAATGAGACCCTATTTAAGGACCGAGGCCAGGTAGGGACCGTAATTCGAGTATTCAGCTTTTACTACCTTTGTGGAAGTTTGGGCAAAGCCATCATCAATCTGTCCCTGTTCTTTTCCTGGCTTCTTCATTTTTTTTCCCCCTAGACTATCATAAAAAGCAGTTGTTTGCCCTCCATGGTCTGGGAGTACAGATGCCCTTTACTGAGAAGTGACTTTGGTTATCCAGTTGGACCTAGACTATGAGTTTCATTTTTCCCCAATCCAATTTTGTGACCCCATTTTTCATTAGTTTTTTTTTCCAATAAAAAATTAGAAAGGTAATTTAGTACTCAGTTTCTATGTCTGTAAAAACAGAGATAATGAAAATTAAATAAGATAATATATGTAAAATGTTTAGAATGGTAACTGGCACATAGTAA